TAATGATAAGTGTCATAAAGCCCGCCATTTGAAATAATAAATAAATATTAATATGGGTTATCATCATGTATCTTATTTATTGAATAAGACGCTTCTACTCATTACATATATGCAAATGGAATAGAAAGGGGATTTACAAGCGAAGCCTTATTGATCCACAGCGCGAGAAGCCGTAACTGTGTTTTAGTTACATTCATGACAATCTCATTGATTCCCTACGTTTTTACACCATTTCTTACTCACCACTTAGTGAAAATATGAATGATCAAACAATGACTATTTCCTCGTATTCATGTGTCTTTGGATTCTATTCTATTCCAACTAAAATCCCTAAATCTGTGTATTTGCCTGACAATGAAATAAGATTGGATTGTACAGTTGACAAGCTAATTCAATTGCCACGAAATTAAATAATTTCGAAAATTTCAGTAATTTCATTGAAGCGGATGTTGAAATTAGTAAACGAAAATTAAAATGAAAACAGGCATAATAGAATCGTACTTGATGCAGCCCGTTGGGGTCGAGCTGACATTGTTTGTGAAATATCCATGGCAGAGGTTTGACGACCGAATGACGACCTACACGATAAAATTACTTCAATTCAATCAATTTTACAAAGAGAAGAAATAAAAGGAAAAGTAATCTAATAAAGTAAAATCAATTTCATGCTGTGGCTCATAAAATTTAAATTGATATGATGAGGTTTAAAACAAGTGATCAAAAGTTAAAAGTTAATTTAATAAATGAGTCATTCTCCAATCTCACTATTATTGTCAAGATTAAACTTTTTCAGCACTTGGAAAATATATGGAGTTCTCATGATAAATTAAATCAAACGACAGATGCAGATTTCCAGGGTTTAAGACCCTTCAAAACCACAAAAATTCCGATGTCAGTGTCGAGTCATCATTGGAACGCCCATTTTTAATTTAACTTCAGATGTAGCAGAGCAAGAGAGTGATACAAATCCTCATGTTGCCAACCCCCCACTACAAACGTTAGACAATACAGTTCCCAAAAGGAAATTTAATTGGAGTTGCCTTAGAGCAGGTTAATAAAAGTTGTTTTGTGAAATAATTGATGGCAATGGGATTTAAGGGAATTAACTTATTTGAATGAAATACTTACGACATGTTAGCCCTTGGTTGGCGGTTGCTTCTGTAAGGGTCTACCCTGTTAAGTCCTACAAGTTTGGAAAGTTGGGAGAATAAATATGGGTGACTTTGGGTCATGACCTGATAAGGCTATAACATTAAGTAATTCTACTCACCCTCAAGCATCGAGGACGCTACAGGTCGTCTGCCAGCTCTATTTAGCGTTGCCGTTGAACCCATATTTGATCCCAGATCCTGAACTCCTCTTCCTATTGGCTGGAGAGTTACCGTCTCTATCTCTTCAAACTCAGTCCGTTCGGGCTAAAGAGGGCCGAAGAAAATGATGTGAGTGAGAACAAAAACATGCTAGACACAAAAAATTTTTCTTACAGGTTTATTTGACAAAAAAATCAATTTCTTTTTCAATGATAGTCGTAAATTATAATACTATAAAATATTGGAATATTGCTGTTTAAGTTAAAGAATAAAGTCTTCTTAATAGAAATGTTAGTAAAAAATAAGTAACTTTTCGAAATTTCGATATCTGTCAGAGGACTTTTGAATCAAAACATACGAGTTCCAATTTAGTCCAGACTCTGTCTATCACAGTGACAAACCTGTTTACATCAATGTAGCCCTAAAAATTTACGGCGAGATTTTATCAGCCTACTTTTTTGAAAATAGTTGATTTGTGTCTTATTATTGACAGGGCTTGAAATGAAATATTGATTTCAGACAATGTTGCCAAATTCAGTGTAACATCGTTTGTTGAATGCAGAGAAATAAGGCTATGTGTCGAGACAGTTTAGGATTTAAAATGAGGAGTTGATGTAGGAGAAAGTAGACAATAAAATTAGGCTCCTACGAATAAAAACTTTACGGTAAATTGAAGAAAAAAGGTATAATAAAACTTTGTTTTTTAAAATATCTGTAGCTACAAACCATAGCATTCCAAAACATACTAAAATGACGATGTCTTTTCATTCTCAAATGATTTAAATGTTCAACTTGAGCAAACATGGTTACTTAGCATTTATGCAGTCGAAGTTATGAGTGGTTCATGTTGCTGTATAGAGAATGAACGGAAAACCCTTAGTAACATTGATTATGTTTACAAGAGAGAGAAACAGAAACGCCACTTCATTAGAATGCACTCATTCAAAGCGAATTCCCATAGAGCAAACTAATTGATCTTGTGACGTGAATTCAGCATGTCATCGCTTCGTATAAGAATGCCGGGTGTTCAATAAATTGAAAAATGAATCCAAACCACACTATCTTTAAACAAATAGATGATCTAATTGCTTTGTTTTACAGTCTTGCAAAAATAGAGAAAATGCAATCGATTCCTTCTTTACTTAACTTTCATATCGAATCATGGTCTTAAAGTCGTTAAAATGTGCGTATTTGTTTGAAATGAAAATACATATTTAATTGGGAAGGAAGAAAGCATGGGCATTATCTGATAACTAGCGAGCTATCGGTTAAGTATGCCAGAACGGACATCATTGTTGAAACTGGAGGTATATTTTCGCATAATTCACCTATTTGGTGATATAAACTTCACTTATTTGAAGGTGCAAATTGATACCCTTTATTAATTTCCATACCCGTAAATACAATTAAGAAAATGTGGGAAAAGTGAATAATTTTCTTGATATTGGAACGAACTTTGATTTAAACCTGAAAATTTTATAAATTAGCAGCAGTTTAATATTTGTTAAAGTGTAGCTATTTTATTATTAATTGATTAATCACTGATTTGGAATAATATCGTGTCTCATCGTCAAAATAATTACGCGTCTACAAGAATTTCTCCATCATTTACGTTACACCTCTTTTTTAAAGCTGATAAAACTCACTTTCTAACTCCGAGTTATTTTAAGGTGAATGAATTATACCTATGACTCATTCAGATGCTATACTACGCATTTCGCGTTGGCAACATAAATTAATAATATAGTCTCTTTAAGTTTATCAACAGAAAAAAAGACCTAAATACTGCAACTCACTCTACCATGCTTCCAATGCGACGAAGCATAAATTCACAACTTGAAAGGTCGAAAGAAGAGAATATCTGGTTGTTCACGGTAATAAGCACTAAAGTGTTTCAGGAAAAACTATATTGATTTTTTTTCTTTTTTTTGCTATAAGTGGTTTGGAACAAAGGGAATTTTAGATAAATTTAAGAAGTGACAATAAAAAGTATCTACTATGACATGTTTATGTCTAGGAGACACAGAGGTAACATCTCGTGGAGTAACAAAGTGTAGGCGGAAGCAAAAAGCCCATTGAAGTGAGTTTTACTCTAGTATGAAAATTCTAGATACAAGACACCATACTAAAACCTCACATGATCTAAACTAAGGCGACATTTAGTCGATTTTGAGGGTTTTAAGTGAAAAGGTCAATATCTATCATTATTCGCATAGCTTATATGATTAATTAATTATTTAATGCTTGCCTGTATAGTAGACATGGAATAATAGTGCTGACGGCGTTGCTGGTGCAGAGAACTTGAACGCAGATCGTTGGAGGATGCAGCAACATGATTGATTCGTTGAGTACCTTGTCGAAGAGCCTCCGCTTGCTCAGCCTCCTGTTTCAGACGTTCACGGCGAGCGGAATAGCCCTGAGAACCCAGGTACGCACTGCCGCTTCGTAGACTTCCTCCCATGGAACGCATAGAAGAGTAACCGGGTGCTGGACTCTGTGGTCCTAAAAAAGCGACAAAAAAATCCCTGCCTATTATGAATTTCTAATTACTAATGTTATGTTTAACAAATATCTCTTAAAATGAAATGCCCTATTCGATTAAAGAATGCTTAATTGAATGAAAATATTTTATTACAATTAGTGGTCCGACTTTCAGGATAATCTTCAATTCGTTAAGCGACAAATTCGAATTATATGCGATAGAATTTCGAAGAATTAAAAACACCTTACCTGACATCATTCCATTTCGGTAATTCCATGACTGGCTGGAAGTCACATTTGCGGAACTCAGAGCTCTTTTCGGCGCTCCGTAACCGAATCCCGAATCTAAAATTGAATCGCTTAAAAGTGAAATAAAGTCTAAGCAGTTATTGTTAGACAAAACAACCAATCAAATGCATTCATTCCTCTCAAGCATCCCCGTGGTAATCACAATACCTGAACCCGAGGTTGCCTCTTGACTATTAATTGAGGCACGATATAAGGATGGTAGTGGGGAGGGTCTTGAGATTCTACGTCGAATAACTCGTCGATGGGTAACTACTTCACATTCCATTGGAGATGACGCCATCCTAGGCATTGTCATTGCTCCAAGGTTTCCTCCAGTATCGTCTTTGACATCCTTTTGTGAGCCGCTTTTATCTTCTTCCAAGCAACTTGATATAGAAGAGGAATCACTGAAAGCTTCATCTTCATCGTCTTCAGTGAAAGGATTATCGGAAAGACCTGCTGAAGTCTCATCGAGTAATGTTAGAGTTGCAGGAGTCTCCATACCCCAGCAATATTCACAAAATCCGTTTTTGTGTTGATGGATGTGTTCCTTCAGGCTGCGGGCTTTCAAAGGAACCCTGGTTGTTCCAGCAGAGCGCTGCCTTGTGCTTCGGGGAGGTAGCTTTGAACATCGATCAATCGTCGCGTGCATCTATTTGTGGGAAATTAAAATTACAAGAACCAATAAGCAACGAAATACAATCATAATCTCAAATTATAATAGAGATAGACACAAGAAATGCTCTGTTAATAGGCGTAGTTTTCTATTATATAAACAACTTAATGCTATTTAGCGGCAAATATGTGGCTAATTAAACGTGAAAGATTTAATGCAAGAATTTTAGAGAACTCAAGCCATTAAATCCGAATTGTTAAGAGGATTGAAAGCGTTACATTAAATCCCTAAAGTTTAATTAGTCATATATATTTAATATTGATGAGTATTAAATAAGCAGTAAAGGTAAAGAAAGTGAATGACTCACATTAAAGCTTATCTGTTTAGCATAGCTTTGTAGTTGAAGAGTTGAGAAGTAAGTTCGTCAAATGTAGACAAGCGGCGGAGTGTTTTGAGAGAAACGGTGTTAAGAGACGTCTTCTTTGTAGTTGACCAATTAGAAATCAGGAGTGAGCACACGAAACAGCGCAACGCAGAAATTCACACGGAACAGGCCCACTTCACTTCACTTAGAAACGAACCTAACCACCACCGCCACCACTCTCCTAACATCGCACCAGACACTCTCACATTAAAATAAAGTGCAAAAAAAAACGAAAAGAGAAACCAGCAAAAAACACACACGGAGGGTGTGAGTGGGGGGGGGGGACATGTATATATGACACAACGATGTGCAAAAAGACAATCTGGGTCTTACTCAGGGTATCGTAGCGACCATGCGGCCTATGGAGGCTTGATCTGAAAAGGATATAAATAAAGAGAATTCATTAAAATTTTATTCCCCTCTACAAGGATGCGCATTTTACAGTGTCCCAAATGACGCTTTAATTTACTCTCGTTGTTAAAAAACAGCAGAGACTAATTGCATTCACAATGCTTCTTATTAACCCACAAAATAGTATTCAATTAACTTTTCCTTCGGTTACTGAAATGAACTTTCCAATATCCGGGGTGTGTGATAGATTTACCTCCACGTGGTGCACCCTGGGCAACGTATACTCATACGGCAAAAAAGTCTATTAACCGGCAGTTGACTTCTAACTTCAAACCACCATCACCCCAGTGTATGTCATATTCGTCTACTTTCACGGTACTCACCTCACCTTTTTTCTACCTTTGTGTCTGTCTGTCCCCTCTACATCTGTGAATCACTCTTCTGTCTCTCCCCCCCCCCAGACTTTTTTCCACTTTGTTGTTCCTTCCCCTCTGTGAAGCCTGAAGTCAACTAAAGGGCTAAAGATAACTATCAAAATGCCCGCCATTTGATATAAATAAACTTTCCATTATCCAGGTCTAGTCTTT